CATTTCGTGACAGCTGCTGTATGTCATGTCACTAAAGCCTGACACAATTGTTGGAAGTAGTCAGTAATCACCAGTGCATCAGTGCAAAGATAGCCTTATTTCTTACAGAACAACCCCAAACCCTCTCCCACCGTTAAACTCAGCTACGCAAGGAGTTGCGCTTTAGTTGGGGTGAAGGAAAGTTGCTGCATCATCCTCTTCCTCCACTTCCCCTTCCGCATTGACTTTCTCTTGTGTTTCTCCGGCAAGTCGGTATCCCCTTTCCATGCCATTAACTAGTCACACGCCAGAGAGAGTGGGCAAACGTGAAGCGAAAGTGGAGATGGGTAGGAGTAGGTCGTCTCCTCCAAAGGAAACATTGTCTCAAGCTTGAATCTCGTTGGAGCTGGATGATGGATGCTTCCAGATTTCATTTATTTGTGTTTTTCTTTTATTTCTGCAATTTGATGGTCTTTTTCCCATTCTTCCTACCATCAGCTAAAGAAACTGTAGGAAAATTTTTAATTTACTCTCTTCCTTTCTGCAGAAGCAATCCAAATGCCCGAAGGTAAATGAATAATTCATTAACGTCAGCTTACTATAACAGGTTATAATGGTTGGACGTTGCTAAGCGCCGATGCAAAAGATTCCTCATTAGAACCGATGTGGCCTTTACTTGGTTCTAAGTAATGGGGCCAGTGCTTCCTCTAAATCCTCTCTTGGATCGACTATGGGTAGAGAAATGGGACGAATTTGAATTGCTCCAGTCAGTCTACTTCTAAGGGGCTTTAACAAGTCATTTTCGGTATAATTTGTCATGCTGATATCCTTTTGTGTAATTGTGGTTTATAATCTTATTCAAGCACGCTTTTACTATCGCTTTTTAAATCACTTTCGATGGGGTAGTGTTGCATCCTCCGCTATACTGTGGAAGCCGAAACGCACCCAATCATCCCCTTGCTTGGCTACTAACCAAGGATTTGGTGCTTCTCTCTTCTGTTCATTAGTTTTGAAAAGTATTTTCTCCCTTTAATGCATTTTTGAGCTATCTTGTGCAGCTGTAGGAGCGAAAACGCTGCTATGACATTTTTTGCCGTGAAACCCATAAAAAGGGGTTGAGTCTGACCGGACCAGACGGCATTCTCAAAGAATTGTTCTTGGAATTCCAAACATAGATCATACTTACCATTCTGTCATTTTTTGGCTAATTTTTAAAGCAGAAAAGTGATGGAGATGACATAAATAGCTTTTCCGTCCATGAATTTAGTAGCTTTTTTCCCATCGAACTTTGATTTTTAAAAATTTCTCTTATTTTCAGGTGATTCCCATAGTGACACATGATGATGACAGCGAGGAACTAAGTGAAGAAGAGTTAGCCAAACGCAAGGAATTTGAACGCAAACGAAAAGAGGTGGCTACACCCGAAGGACTGGACATAAAGGCCGTCTTAGGTCACCGAATCTCCATTCCAGGCGCTGATGGTGATGAAGATGAGGACGAAGAAGATGTTGATGATAAATGTGAGGATCCACGGAATTTGCAGATAAAAGACGGTGCCGCGGGAAGTGTAACCTCTTCCCCTCTGAAAAGCCTTCAGAATCCACAGAAGGTCGGAGAGGAAAAGGAGTAAAGCTGATGATGTATTGGTCCTTTGGGTTATTTGTACAAAACTGAATTGATAAACGAATGAATCAGATGTTCATCTTCCTCCATCCTCATTAGAATTCTGAGTAATTATCACCAAACTTTTCTTCATTCCTCTCCTTTTTATTTTGAAAACTTCAAGCGTCACAAATATGTGACGCGTGTGCTTCGTCGATATATAACCGCTGCCGAGTGCACCAACTTGTTTGTCAAAAGACAGACTAGGTGAATTGGAAGTTGTTTTTACCTAGCTCATGGACAACTGCGTGCCTTTCTTTCCCTTTCAAGGGCAGTTGTATTGGCCATTTCGGCAGGCATGCGTCGCCGATTTGTCCGAAGAAGGGGAAATTATGCGAGTGGATATCCGGGAGACGATTCGCCTTTGAGACAGATTCCGACAGCCAGTGTACTGAATCAAGCGCAACCTCTAAGTTTAAGTATAAAGTAAGGTAGACTTTGCTCTCTCTTGAGAGTCGTAAAATGGGGGTAAATTTTTTCAGATTTTTCTCAAAAAGGTAATTTTTGTTATATTTTTCCCAGAGAGAAAATTCTGTTGCTTTATTTTCCACCAATTAGTTGTAAAAATAATAACTCTTTAACACATTCTCCGTGGGGTTCAGAGATTTTGAATTGGAGTATACTAGTTTAAGTTCGTTTATTTTTTTTCTCCATTAGATTGGATTAAGCTTCTACCGAAAAAGGAAAGAAGGGCACAGCAAAAGTTTCCCTACAGTTCTTCCAGAAGATGGTAGGTAGGATAGGAAGAGGACTGTCAAATTGCAGAAGGCTTTTGAAATGAAGAAAAACACAAATAAATAAAATTCATTAGCATCCTTAATCCTGGTCCAACGAGATGCAAGCTTAAGACAATATTTCCCCTGGAGGACACGACCTACTCATACCCGTCTCCACTTTCTTTTTGCATCTGCTTGCTCTTTTTGGTGTGTGATTAGTTAATGACATAAAAGGAGAATACCGACTTGCGAATGAAACATCAGAGAAAGTCAAGGAGGAGGAGGAGGATAATGCAGTAACATTCCTTCACCCCAACTGAAGCCCAACTCTTCCCATAGCTAAAGGTTAACTGTGGGAGAGAGTTCCGGGTTGATGTGTAAGAAATAAGGCTGCCTTCGCCCTGTTCCATCAGTGACTACTGACTACTCTCATCTGTTCCGAAATACGAGGTCTTTCTTGCACAACTTCTAGTGGCATCCAATTGCATCAAGATGCAGCACAGCTTTCCTCATCTCATTGTTCTCCCCACTGATGATACCTTTTCTAGTTGTAGCGGGTATGAGTGACATTAATAGCAGTAGCTGTCAGACGTCAATTTCCTTCTCCATGCTGGACACGGCATATGGCAGTGGCGATTCATTTTAGTTCTCTATCTACATCCACAATCACTGACAGATGCATATTGAATACCAAATGGTCAATGTAGGATTAAAGAGAAGGCTACTC